GCGGGAGTCAGAAAGGTACTGGCCGTTCCTTACCTCAATGCAGAGAATGTGTTAAGGTAAAAAAACGCGCAGCTACTACTTTAACTCCTGAGTTTAGTGTCTCATTAAAGCGTTGCCTATTGTTAATTTTGTGTACCGTCATTTTTCACCGTTTTTTTGGACACACACAGTCATAAGTCTCAACCTATATGGTATCTCTTTACTCAACACAACCTCGTATTTTATCTGGTATTAAAAAATAGGAATTATATTGTGTTTTCTGTGCACTAAAAGGGATTTTAGTGTATTTTTATGTTTTTTACTGAACATATAGATTTGACAAACAAATGCACATATATTGTGTGACATAAAGAATTGCAATTACCATCTTTTCATTCTACAGGGCCTCTGTGTTCAGAAAATATATGTTTTGGGGTTTTAAGTCATTTGGTAGCCAATAATGCAGATTTTAACAAGTGCATAAAAAACAAAGTTGCTGTTTACTTCTGCACTGTCACCTTCCGCCACTAGAGGGAGCTGTGGATTTGTAGATCAGCAAATATAATAGGGCAACTTAGGTCTGGCATCCTCTGGAAGAATGCATGGATGGCTTTGTACAGCAAATTCAAGTTATGTCCATAGGGTTGCTTGGAAGAAAAAAAAAACTGGTGATAACCTCCCAGTTGCAGAAGTTTTTTAATCTGGAGGACAGCTAAAGGAATCCATGTGGGCCACTGCGGGTAATTCTGCTACACTGGAGGAAATAAATGGGAAAAATCCTTCCAAACCTCAGGAGTGTAATCAAATCTATTTGTTGGATCAAAATATTCTCATATTATCATTGAGTAAATAGATCCTTGGGTGTCAGCAGGTGTAAGAAAATTATCCTGTGCTTTTTTTTTTTCGAAATGTCTCTTTTGGCATTGTGATATCATGTGATAAGGCCTTATAACAAATCTTGGCCTAGTTTTGCTTTAATACCCAGCAGTACATGCTCACCTCTCCTTCCCTGCCCTGGCAACCCGCTCAGCTACCGCGAGCAAAGAAAGTAACTGGTACTCTTGGGTATGGAGGATCATGTGACTTGCTCCTCAATGGCAGAGAGGGTCCTGAGCCCTGTGTAAGCTTCAATTGGGGCCACTTTGAGCTTACACAGGGCTGTATTTTATTTTATTTTAAAATCCTAGTGGCAGAATAAAGTGGCGGGGAGCAAGGGAAAGGTATGTTCTGCTGGAAACGGAGGGGCATTAAAATTGCATAACCTGTTGCCCTGCATTCATTAAAAGGTAAGTTCACCCCTCCCCGGCAGCT